TTGGCAGGGATCAACTGCCACAGATTGGAAGAGAAAGCAATGTCTTTATCAGGCCTTTCTTCTCTCTCTCCCCCATCACATCAATCTCATGGGAATTTCCCAGACAAAAGCCTTCTGCTTAGCTTGTAATGAATTAAACATCCATCTGACTTAATCTTTAGCATTTCTCTTGCTCTGCCCACAGGTAACTAACTAGCACATAGCAGGAAGGTGGCCGGACAGAGTGTAGAGAACCGGGCTTATGCCCGCATTTGACAAGGAACACATTTCTGGTTTTGGATCTCCATCTCTGTGTTTGAAAGAGTGAGAAGTTGCACTGAACTTGATGATGTTTACAGTTCCCTTTCAAGGGGTTTCCCTGGTGGCTCCAAGGTAAAGAATCTGTCTGCCAATGCAGGAGATGTGGGTTCAATCCCTCGGTCAAGAAGATCCCCTGGAGAAAGAAATGGCAACCCACTCCAGTATTCTTGCCTGGGAAATCCAATGGACAGAGGAGCCTGGAGGGCCATAGTCCATAGGGTCCCTAAGAGTCGGACATGAGTGAGTGCCTAAAACAACAACAAATACAACAACAGTTCCTTTTCAGCCCCACAACTGATAACTACTGCATTCAGAAGTGTCCTGTCCCCGCCACCCCCTTTAAAGAGCTAGTTCTATCTCAGCTTTCTTAAAAGTTTCCACTAGCAACAACTTGAGTGCCTTCCTCTATTAAGGCAAAAAGTTTAAACAAGAAGCAATGTTCTTATTTTTATGACCAAAATCCATATTAGTTACACTGTTCAAAAAGATTCAATGAAATCATGTCTAACATTTTCAACTACATGCATATAAACATTTAAGTTCACTGTAGCACAGCACATCCAACCATAAAACATCAGAGTGTGAAAAGGCTCTTCCTGCCCCTCCCTAAATTGGTGACACAGAACTTTTTCACTTCCAAATGTGAAATGTGATCCACACCCAGAATGTGTCATAACTGGCATGGATATGCTATTAAAACTAGAGCTTCTTTTGCAGACAGCTACATAACATCTCAGGCATGTTGGTAAGAAAGGAATCATAACTGAGACTGGTGGTGACAGCATCCGGATGGTTAAGAGAAAATTAATCCTATTTTACTAATTGCAATTCCTACTAACAATGCCTAATTTCTCCATCATAATATAAATAGTCCACAGTCTCTACTATGTGACACATACCTCTGCACAAAACAGCCCCACGCAAATGTTTTGGGTACACAGCATAACCATGACTACGCCATCATCAAACAACCATATACACCCAAGTCTTTGAAAACTTTTGGACTGGGGCTGGATGGAAGGAAAAGTATATAAACAGAAGAAAAAATGAAAAGCTAAAAATGAGAATTTTGGAATCCTCCCACTGAGAATGGCAAGCTTGGAGCCTTAAATCAACTTCAATGTTCATTTCAGAGATACTCCCCACCAAGCCCCGCCCTGTCCTGGTCCAACCTACACATCCACACCAAACACGTTTGTACATTTCAGACTCTAGAATTGCTCTGGGGATGCAAGGGCTGAAAGAAGACTTGGAAACAGCCATTCTTTGTGGGTCTGGTATCAGAACACGATAGTTTCAAGCAAAAAGACCTGTGAGGAAGAAAAGTCTACCTGTAGATCCAACCTTTTAAGAAGACTGACCCCATTTCCCCACATTTGCCCCAAAGGAGGAAAATATTTTTTTTCCCTGTCATTATCATATGCAAGAAAAATAGAAAATGCTCTTAGAAAGGGTCACATAGTTGTCAGACAAAGGAAGGCATGAAACAAAAGCTGTGACCCGACACAGCGAATGAAATTCACATGCTGAACCTCAAACACTTCATCAATCCTCAAATCAACAAATATTACTACAGTGGAATGGCAGAGAGGGGAGAGTCATTCTGATGGGTAGAGTTTATGTCTTGTCTGGATTGTTACCACTGATTAATTGAATATTAAATGAGTTGTCCGATGATCTCATGTTTTTTATTAGGGTGCTAATGTATCTTGCAAGAAGTTCTTACTGCCTTTCCTTAATCCCTGAAAGTTATCAGAAACTTATAACAGACGTCTGTCACTGGACCCTTTACATCCTGGTGCTTTCAACTCCTTCCTGATTATGTACATTTTTTAACCATATTTTCTTTCCATCCAGCAGGTTTGTTCGTGTTGAACAGACATTTTTTTCCACACATTTCTTCAGCTCCAGAGGAATTCCTGCCACAGGAATGAGGCCAGGGGATGGACACTGCCTCTCATATTAACATTATGTGAAGAAAAACACTACTTATTATGTTAAGCCATCTTTACTCAATAATAAGCATTGGTTTGAGACCTCAACCACAGCCACTGACATTTAAAATCTACCAATTGCTATGCATTTCAGGTTATGCATTACAGATTCAAGTTTTTTTATCTTTTACTGAGATTTAATTGTTTATATGATGAACAATATTTTTTAACTAATTGGAGCACATGCTGGCTTCACCCAACACCATTTATATATAGTGCTTGTGGTGCACTATAACTCAAGCCAGAACCAAGTTAGTGTTGAATTTGGTATCTGTAAATTATCCCAAAACTTTTATTTTGGAAAGAGCAGCTATCACTTTCATATCCATGGCTAGCATGAGTATTTAAAACATCTAGATCTTCAGAGAGATTATTTCACAAAGAAATAGCAACAGTTCATCACTTAAGTAGATGTAGATGTTGGATGATTCACTGGGCTTCTTCCTAGCTTTCCTATATGATTTATTTCCATATAACAGTTTCATAATATTTACATAAGAAAAATTCAAGGTAGTATACGCGACAGAATTTTTAACTAAACCCACAACCAAATAAGTTAGAAATGTCTCCAGGTCCTTGTATCTGTGCTTCAGCCAATAAATAAAGCCCTTTGTCAGGACTCTGTTTTTTTTATTAATTTTGAGCCTTTACTTGAAAACCTTCTTGGGAATCAGTTTTCTGACAATCCTTTTCCACCTTTATATTTTTTCCCCTTCCGTACTGTCCATTCCCAAACTAGTCTTAAATAAAGTTGATAATTATTCTCCTCTGGATGTTTTACTATGAACGTATCTCTTAGAGCATTATCCACATTTTATTATGTTATTTGTATTATATAATATTGTATGTTTTATATATATGTGACATCACACTCACACACACAGATCCTTCAAGACAGTAAGCCCCATAAAGACAGAAACCATGTTTTATTTATCTTTCTAATCTAGTGCTTGGGAGTGTAAATAAATGTTGCTGAATAAATACAAGCTGAATTTTCTCAATAAAGATCCTTTTTGTTTTTCATGGATTACCTCTCTGGAGATAAAACTGGTTTAAACTTACTAACCGAATAATGTGCTATAAATTATGTAGGAACAAGTTATTGTTACTCTAATACTCCAGGAAGGAAAAGCGAAGAAACGAAAATGTGTTATGGACTCAGTGATCCACATTTAGCACTGAAATATAAGCTGCAGAAACTGGGCTTCACCCCTGACAACATGGCACTCTACCCATTAGCTTATGTCACTCACTTGAGGATCTCATATTCTCTATCTGTGGTCAAGTTTCTCTAGTGTGATGTGCTTTGGACTCAAAAGTAATAGCAATTCCGTGCAGTCAAAAAAGGACCTGGTTTGTCCCTTTCCTTTTATGTAATGGCCATCAGCATTATTATCCTCTCAGCTTCCCAGGTTTGACAGGGAACAGTACGCTTTAGTGATTGTGAAAAATAGTGATTGTGAGGGATGCCCAGCTTTTAGACAGTGTGTAAGCAAATGGCTGCTTCCTCTGGATTCCATTTCCCCCTCTGTGAAAAACCAAAGCATAATATTTAACAACAAGATCAAGCTATTGTGAGGGTTAATTAGATTTAATGGGGGAAGGGAGGCGAGCTGATTAGGCACTATTCAAATTCAAAGAATCATTATTTTGTATCTAAAAATAATCCTCATTTAGGAGTAAAATTAATTTGGAAGCTCAATCTTTGGTAATCATCTTCCCATACTTGAAAAAAACACCATGGTTTTTAATCAAAATCCCATTCTAACCGCAATTCAATCAAGTAAAAAATGGAGACCTGTGAATTTCCATTCACCATTGTGGTAAGACAGTACATGATTCAATTCTTTTTCTTTTCTTCTCCCTCCCTCCTTTCCTTCCTTCACTTTTTCCTTTCTTTTTTGTAGATATACTATGTGTGGAAAGGTTAATTTTGGAGAATGAAGTAATGTAAACAAATACGGATTTTACTAATAAAACTACATTGAGTTTTGTTTGTTTTATATGAAATATTTGTGAAACAGTTCAAATTTCCTCTTTAAAGAATCGGCAGTCAGGACTTCTTTGGCAGTCCAGTGGTTAAGACTCTGTGCTTCCACCAGAGGGGACAAGGGCTCACATGCCCACCCACCCCCCCCCGCCCAGAAAAAAAGTCAGTAATCAATATTCTTTGGTTAAAATAACTTTTCAGGTTATTTCTGGTTCATCTCTTATTTTTGTTCAAGTGAAAGATCTTCATATTCCCCAAATTAAAAAAACAGATGCCTGGATATTTAAGGCTAAGGCCAGAAAAAGGGCATCTAAATAGTAATCATCAAAATTAATGTAATAGATTTAATTTATTATGAAAATTTTCAAGAGGAATAGAAGTTGGTACCTGAGAAAGCTCTGAGTTGTCTAAATCTTACTAAAAACATAGTGTCTTCAAAAAAATGGGACACATTCTTTAAAAATGTAACAGTTGATAATCCTGGGAAATATGCCATATCTATTTGGAAAAAAATGTTGCACTCAGTTTTTGGTGAAGACTTTTGGCTGGAAAGGAACTCTATTCATGTTTGTTTAGAATTTTCCAAACAAAAGGGAAATAATGTAGTTCAGGCAGTAGAAATTTATTCTCTACAGAGAACCAGGAATAACTGACACAGTCCTATTAAAAATTCCCAGAGAACTTACAAATTCTCATCACTTTGACTGTATACTCACCAAGCAAACTTCTGATTATTCATTCGATTTCCCCGGACCCTTGATACTGGGGACGGATGTACCCTGTAGTAGGTAGATGAGAATAATCCAGTCATTAAAAAAGCATTTTCCTGATTACAAGTGAACAAAAAGTGATCAGGTTTATAAATGATCTCTTTCAGATTAGCTTAATGTAAAATGGCCCACAGTTTAAGCACCTCTTAGTAAATGAATGCAGTTCAATCCCTATGGCTTGTGAACCTGCAGTCTCTCTCCTTTTGCACCACTTTTAACATAACAAGCATTTGTCACAATGTGCCCTGTGAAGATCCCCCAAAGCAGGACCAGTTTTAATAAGTTGATTCATTCAGTCAGTCCAACAAAAAGTTACTGTTGCCAACCTAATCCCTGCCAGGTTTAGGAGTGCATAAAAATAACATAGGGTCTAATGCTGACCCTCAACAAGCCCTTCCTGCTACCTGTTCCCACAAGGACAAAAAGAGATAGTCTAAGTACACATTCCCTCAGTCAACTTCTAGATTTAAAGCCCTAAAGTAACATAGCAAAGGAGATCAGCATACACCCTCCCCAAATATGTTACTTTGGCATAATGATTATTTTGATTTGAAGGCAGCCACAATCACAAACACAGGAAGAGCTCTTTACCTTTCCTCTATATGCCTAAAGGCAGGGCATATATTCCCCTTTTGTAAAGGAAATTTTAATTTGTAAAGGCCTTCCATCCAACAATCCCCATATCAGGGAAAGGAATACAACATACAACTCATCACCAGAAATGGTATTGAGATGAGCTGGCATAAACAACCCTTATTTACCATTAGTTCCCCCCCAAACACTTCCTTGCTACCCCCCTAAAATGTAGCCCCTTAGACGCCCAGACTCCCTTGTCTTTTGACAAAGCAAGCCTCCACATATTTTCTGCCTTTGTTAAAGTGGTATATAAGCCCCAAATTCTAAACACCCCTTTGAATTACTCATCACTGAGTATTCCTGCAAGCATGAGTGCATGTTTTATGTGTAAATAAACTGTTTTTTCCTCTAGCTAATGTACCTATTGTCAGTTTAATCTGCATACCACTAAACTTGAGAGGGCAGAGGCAAAAATTAACCCCCATCCCTTATACTACAGTGCTGTCTGTGCTAAGTCACTTCAAGTCAGGTCTGACTCTTTGCAACCCAATGGACTGTAGCCTGCCAGACTGCACTTTGCACTCAGAACATTTATTTCTTCCAACATCCCTCCTCTGTCCATGGAATTTTCCAGGCAAAAATACCGGAGTGGGGTGCTGGCCCCTTATAGTAACTTCATCCAAATATCCCCGCACAGAATCTGTGGGAGGAAGGATGGGTGAGTAGCTATGTTTAGGTGAAAGGTCTTCTATATGTGATGCTCCCTAGCCAGGCTTTGAAGGAGACCATGTCAATTCAAACCTTTAGCTAAATAATGGGGGAAAGACAGTAAAGACCATATTGTTGTACAAGCTCCTTGGGCTGGAGTCATCCACTGGAAATGCTTGAAATTTCTAGGGACTGCTGATGTCTTCCAAGCAGCAGTTAGCTAGTGAACCTCCACGAACCTCCACCTCTTCGTGGGTCACTTACTGGCAGCACAATTTGCTCCACTTCTGTCCCCGTGGCCAACTTCCTGCTTTCTTCTCCCTTTACCAGGTACTTGTGAGATCCAGGCAGTGCTAGATCGCAGTCATTACTCTTATTCGCAAGACAAGAAAGTAAACCAGAATTTTAAATAGGTCTTAAAAGTCCAGTTAGAATCAAGAGCCCCAAAGTTCGTTTGAATTCCCATTCTCCACAGCTGTTCCGTGAGTGAGAATCATTTCAAAGCAGACAAAACAGTTCTAGCCCCTCTGAAGGGCCAAATCCAGTCTTTCTGTAAATCCAGAGCCAGACTGCACTTTGCACTCAGAAAGCTTATTTCTTCCAACATCCCTTATTAACATTCTTTTCCTCACAGCCCTTCTCAATGGCTGCTGCAGCTGAGCTGCTCAGCGCAGACTTCCTGCTCCATGTGGGGGAGGGGGTGTTAATTATGCAGAAAGATGGAGAGCGGCCAGACAGCCCCTCTGGTGAACTGTCTCATTCAAGCACGGCCCACTTCCTGCTGTTCTGCAGCTACGAGGATCACCTGTTGGTCTTGGCATTCGGCCAACCTGGGGCCTAGCGGAAATGACAGACTCAGCTAGAAATGAAAGCCAGCTCATATTCCAGTACCCCAAATTGGGGACAGAGTGAACAAACATGCAATAAAAATGCACAAGAGTTACACACAAGGTAACAAGGCTCTCTTTTCCCTGCTCTGCTTTTTTCTTTCAGTCTGTCTGCTTGAAATACAATCATGAAAATGGAAGAACTGTGAGCCAAAAAATGTCTGTCCAGTTGAAGTCCCCTGACCTAGGGGAAAATGAAGGAAATCCTCTTGAGCCTTGCCTACATTCCCCCTGGGGTGTCAGAATCTTACTGCCTGAAGACAGTTTCAACAAGTAATAGCCCAAATACACACACATTCTTTAATTCACTCTGCACCCTTTAATGTTTACTGCATACTGATTCCTCCTTAACCTTACTTCTAGTCATCATGATAATTCTACCAGGTGAAGTTTGATAATATAGAAATATTCTCCCACTAATGCTTCTCATTGCATGTATCACTGGGGAAAAAATGGGTCTGTTTAACTTCCCACGTGAGGCAGTGGTAAAGAATCCGCCCGCCAATATAGGAGACACAGGGCACTCAGGTTTGACCCCTGGGTTGGGAAGATCCCCTGTAGTAGGAAGTGGCAACTTGCTCCAGTATTCCTGCCTGGAGAATCCCAGGGACAGAGGAGCCTGGTGAGTTACAGTCTATGGGGTTGCAAAGAGTCAGACATGACTGAGCACATACACACATGCAACTTATAGTACAATATTCTCTAGGTAATTGTATCTTTTAGCAAAACTCTATTGACTCACAGATCAAACACTGTAAGTAGATAATTTTTATAATGGCTTAAGCTCTTCAAATAATTCCTGATTTTGTGTGATCAAATAATTATAAAGCCTTTTACATTAAAATGGTAAAATAAGAAAGGTTTTTTTCCTTTCCCAAAGTGAGTTAATTGATAACTCGGAGCTTACTTTATCTGAGGAAAGTAGACCATAAATTTGCATTTCGGCTACTTGCCAAATTTCATTTCTTCAAAGAAATATGCTGTATTTCTGTGTGCGCTGTCTTTTAAGTGGTGACACTTCTTACCATCGCCTACCTTCTTTCCACATATAGCAGCTAGGCAGGTAGCAAAGTCAAAATCCCAGTAGGAGAAACCACCGTCTAATTTGCATGTCATGCATTATTCATGACCTCCTGATTCCTGCACCTGCATCTAGGCAGGAAGCTTGCAGGGCATGTTCATTACTCTTCTCTTAGCCTCACACAGGCTCCATTACTACTAAGCCACTTTGTTCTCTAAGTGCGGGTTTCAGGCCTTAGTACTAACCACTGGATAGGGAAAGAAAAAAAAATCGACAGGCTGCAGGGAAGGGCAAGGTTCACTGTTGTATAACATGCATTCAATCCTACAACGTGCTCTTCTAAGACTGACAGTTCATGTCAGATGGAAATGCTCCTATTTGGTGATTTACATTACACAAAAAAAGAAGCTATAACATTAAGGCCATGTACACCAACTGTTCTATTTATATACACTTACTCATCTGAGGCAGACAGCATGTTTATGATTTTACCCAACACAAGGCTTAATTTAGCTTTCTTGCTAAGCATGTGAGAACTTCTTAGATACCTTCTTACACAAATCAGTCTTCCTTCTTTGGGTATAAGCACTGAAAGACCTGACCCTCAAATCTTGACGGTAATGACTAACATTTATAGTTAATCAGGACAATGTGATCGCTCCTGTTTTTCAATATTTTACTGAACCTACCTGAACGGCTGGTGGCTGGCAGGGGGGTGTGAAACCCTGATCCCCGAGGCAGAAAAGCTGTGACAACTTAAATCCAATCTTACGGTCCCCAATGGAATTGAAATGAAGTGGTAGAGAGAACAAACTATGTAAGTATCTGGGATTGAATTCCAACTCCACCATTTACCAAAGGTGTTATCTTAGGGCAAGGTACTTAACCTGTCTGCCTTTCTGTCTTCTCATCTGCACCAGTGGAGGCAATGATAGTAGCCACCTTCTAGCTCTGTGGGATTTTAGTTAATAATGTTAAAATGTTCAGAACAGTGCTAACTACCCAGGAAGCAGTCCATACATGCTAGCTATTATCACTAGTAGTGCTCAGACTGAATTGGAAAGGATATGAAGATGGAACTGGAATATCCAGTTAATTCCACAGGATTGAGATAAATGTGCTCTACAAGCCCACAGTTTTGATTACTACACTTGTATCACTTCCCTCAAGGCGAGGAAATAAAGAGAAATAAACACCTATAGGGTAACATGAACCAAATACTGTGGTTTCTAAGGTATGGCTTCCTCTTCAGCATCTCACTTTGTCCGTTCTTTATGGAATGCAGCCGACCAGGCTTCTCTGTCCATGGGACTCTCCAGGCAAGGATACTGGAGTGGGTTGCCATGCCCTCCTCCAGGGGATCTTCCTGACTGAGGGATCAAACCCGTATCTCTCACATCTCCTGCACTGGCAGGCAGGTTCTTTACCACTAAATGGGAAGTCCTATTAGAAGACAAATCTTCTGTAGTTTTAAGTCAGTAATCATAGCATACAAAGTCACTCTTACTGAGCCCTTACTGGGTGCAGACCGTGCTAAGTATTTACTTTAGTCACATTATCTTACTTTCTCCTCATCATTAATATCCACATTTCACCATTGAGAAAATAAGAGGTTTAGAAGAGTTAGTAACTTGCCAGAGCTGCAGGGGAAAAAAGCAAAATCAGAACTTGGACAAACGTGTGAATGACCTATCTTCCTCCAGATTATCATTCAATTCTTGTGAGCTCACATATATTCCCTCCCCACTACCCCCGAGGCTGCAATAAAGTGAATTAGCACCAGGGGTCTTAATGAACCTCAGCATTTATTTAAGCCC